TGATGGGACGTTAATCATTGAGGGCTGTGGAGATTTCGCTAATGTGCCTTTACTTAGTTTTAATGGAGGGATCATTTACAATCCTATTTTAGCTCAACAATTGAACACAGCAATACCAGTTACTTCTGCAAGAAAACCGTACGAAGCTTACAACTCCTCACAACAATCCAAAAGCTACAAGAGGCATTCCATAACCACTTGCTCCAAAACAAACAACCTGCTACCACACCAAGGCGACAAAGACAACATTATCACACCACAAAAATCCAAAACCTATGCTTCTACACACATATCCTGTGAACCGCACCAAAACAAAACCTCCATGCCAATAATCAACAACAACGGCAACAACACAATGACACAACCTGCGAACCGTAGCCACAACACACCAAAACCAACAATGACCTGCACCATAAGACAACAACAACACAACAAGACCTGCATAGGAAAATGACTCAATAATCAGACATCTTGTACCCTCAAAATGAATTAACAAGTTTTGTATGGTATTAAAGAAGAGAAGAGAGCAACAACAAGGAAAGAGAAATGAGGAACAAAGAAAAACCTTTAAAAAAATGACGAACAAACCTTACAAGTTTTGAAGGCATCCTTTAACCTGCTATTACTCCATCGACCTATCCCAACCTCCTCCATTCACCACCATACACCATCACCACCGTGATAACTTTTAAAACCACCAATCTGAACAGCAACAACAACCACAAGTTCAACCATTCACATAACCTTCCACCTATTTACCACAAAGGTAACCACAACAACACGTTTGCCTCCTTCTCATTTGCTTTCCTACTATCTCGCACAAATTAGTTGCAATAATCATAAACTTCTCCACAAAATTAACATCAAAACCACAAATTCACATCACCATACTCCATAATCATTACACTACCACACACAAACTCTCAACAAACTTTTCCACCCAAAATAACCAAACTCAACTGAAATAGAGAGAGCAAGAGATGAAGCAAAAATTGGACGAAACCTGAGCAACCATCTGCAAACAAGAGAGAGAAATTGAACCTGTTGGTGAATCATTCTATTCTATTTCCAAGATTGCTAATGAGGAACGTTCTTTTTCCCCTCTGTTTTCTCTAAGCGTGTTATTCCCCTTCATTTTTTCCTAATCGTGTGGTTCTGAGAGATAAGATTGAGAATCCTTGAATCCGAGAAAAAAACGAGATCGCAATATGATGAGAGAGCGGGGAGGACAAAAGCGAGTCGAAGAGTTTGAAATGATTTGAATGTTGGAAAGATTTGAGAAGAGGGTATTTCATTTTTGCTGAATTATTTTGTTTCTTATGTTACTGATACTTTGAATTTTCTCTTTTTGATCGTGTTGTTGTTTGTCATCATGATGCACAGTTACTCTTGCCATTTTAAAGTAGGGTTTGGTAAATTAATTACTCCCCATTAATCATACCTGATCCATGTTTTGTTGTTGGGCTGCCCTTTAATTTTGATTTTGATCATTGCGTTTAGTTTCTAGCCCATATGCATTCATCATACTTGCTCACTTTTCTTTGATGTTTTTTCAAATATATTAATCTCTCTCTTTTATTAGATCATTTAATTAGATATTTTTAAAAGTTTAATTAGGCTTTGGTCCATGTCCTTTCTTCTTTAGGACTTATCTCATTTTGTTGGTATGCCCATGTCCATGCTAGTATGTCATTATTCATTGCTTGTAAAATTGCATAATTGTTTCCTATGTTTTATTCTGTGTGATTTTATTCTTGCATGGATATTTTAATTATTATTATTGAAAAATAAACAAAAAATGATAAAACCAAAAAGACAAAAAATATTTAGTTAGAGTTTGAGGCATGAGAGTTTTTTTGTGAGAGACTATTAGACTTTGTGTGTGACCTAGGCTTGACATCAATCGTCATTAGGGACTTATGATCTTAAATCGCAAAGTAGTTACTGTTGCATCGCTTTTAATCCATTAGACTTGTATTATTATTGTTCATTGTTTAGTTTAGGACACTTCCACAATAACCCCATTTACTTCTAGAATAATATTCCCTTGTATTTTTCCATGTATCTCTCTCCCTTTTGGATATACTCTTTTTATTGTTTTGTGTTGGTTATGATTTCGTACTATGAGCACCCTCAGGAACTAGATTTGACCAAACCCTTTTGTAAGCCCTTGATCCAACATCAAAAGGCTCTTTCCCTTAGCTTGTGAGTCGAGGCATTTTGTATCGCCATCAACCTTCCTTTTTTTTCCCCACCGTAGTCCCACGAACTACGGACGCTCTGATTTCTCATTCCCGTTGAGAATACGTAGGCACAATGGCCCCAATTCTTGGCGAGCACCCTAATAAAAAACCAATCCTCTTTCCCTTTAGTAAGTGGACTTGTAGATTATAACACCCATTCAAGCTTAGACAACTTAGATGGTTCCCATCGAGTACGATGGACGTGAGAGGGTGCTAATACCTTCCTCTCACATAACCGACTTCCGAACACAAATTTGGTTGCGAGACTATTTTTCACCTTTATGAGGGGGTTATCTTTATTTTTTCTTTCCTCTTAGAATAAATAAAATTGGTGGCGACTCTGTGTCATTTTTCGTGTAACGACAATAATCACATGTCCACCATAAGTGATAGCATGGAAATTAGTCATAAAACTTTCAAACTCTTCCTTCGAGATACACCTCCGAAAAATTATGTTGGTGCCTCTCTTGAAAAGTATAGGCTCGTCCCAATAATAATGCCTAAGATCTAAAAAGAATTTTTTCTTGTGTTGGTAATTCATATCCGTAGGTAAGACTTCGTCAGCTAGCTATGTAGTTGATAAATTCAACATACAATAATCTGAATTAACGCAAACAACTTGTCATTCAGAAAAAATCGTCAAGGGGTAACTTTTCCTTCCTAATATTAGTTAGTTTGGGCAAATGGTTTGCAAACACATTTTTTGTCCTTTTATTATCCCTTATTTTGATATCAAATTCTTATAGCCATAGAATCCATCGAAATAGCTTTGGTTTTGCATCCTTTATTCTTATGAGATATCTAATGTCCGCATGGTCAATATAGACAATTATTTTTTAACCTACCAAGTAGGAACAAAACTTGTCAATAGCAAAAACCACAACCAATATATGACATGTGTTTGTTATCTCTCATCTGCCCAAACACTGCGCCTATTGTGTAGTCGTTAGCATCACACATTATTTCAAAAGGTAAACTCCAATTTGGAGGTTACACTACAGGAGCAGAGATCATATCTTTTTTTTTAATTTTAAGAAAGATTCAATGCACTCTTCATTAAATTCAAATTCAACGTCTTTAATCAATAGGTCGATTAAGGGCTTGAAAATTTTAGAGAAATATTTGATGAACCGACGGTAAAATCTGCCATGGCCTAAGAAACTCCTAACCTCTGTCATAGTGGTGGTAGGTATTAACTTCTTCATGACTTCAATCTTAGAATTTTTTTCTCCTCTACCATGTTATTACAATTTTTTTTTCCATAATGCCATCATTTCAATAAATATACTATATTGCCATAGTTTCAAACAAAAAAAGAGGACACGTAAGCACTGCCGCCGATTGAAAAGGTGACACACTTTAAAAATGTACTCTGCCGCCCATTGAAAAGGAGGCAATGTCCAAATTTTTATACACTGCCGCCCATTGAAAGGACGACACCTTTTAATATTTTAACTCTTCCGCCCATTGAAAGGACGACACCTTTTAATATTTTAACTCTTCCGCCCATTGAAATGATGGCAACCTTGTATCAAAAATACAGTTTTTTTTAAAAACATGACATTATGATATATTTATTGAAAATGATGGCATTATAGAAATTTTTTTGTAATAACATGGTAGAGGAGAAAAAAATTCTCAATCCTAACTTTATCAAACTCTATTTCTCTTTCGAACACTAAATATTTTAAGATTGTGCCCTCCTTTATCATGAAGTGACATTTTTCAATACAACCTTAAATTAACTTTTAGACATCTTTCAAGAACTCTTTCTATTTGACTAAGCAATCATCAAAGTTAGACCCATAAATCAAATATTTATTTAAATTATGTATTTTGTAAAAAAATCATAATCTTTTATACTCAAAATATATACATTGTCTTTTAGCTCCCTTAAAGATGATTTTTAATCTGTCAGTGGTTACAAACTTTCTTGTTTTTTCAATGTGGAGTTCGAGCAATTGTTAAATGCATATTATCCTCAGAAAAGGATTGGGTGACTTTGTCACTCGTGATTTTGGATAACTTTAAACCATTTTAGGAAAGAGAAAAGTGAAAATAATTAAGTTCTTTGTAACAAAAAACTTTAATTCTTGCTAAACTGTTTCCTTATTTTTGTTTTTCTTGTTTCTTAAGTTGTGAATTATCTTAAATATTAATATAATTATTATTTTTTAAATTCAAAAATAAAGGAATGGGAAAAACACATAATAAAATTATACATTAATTATGATTGAAAATCTTAAGAAAAGTTTCTAAAACATTTTTTGAATATAATAATATAAAAAACTTTATAAGCATGCATGTATTCCTATAATTCATTATGCAATAGAAATAAATATGTTAATCACAAGAATTTAAATAAATGATTTTTATTTACAATTCAACTCTATATAATTTATAATATATTTCTGTAAACCGGTCAAAAAATGAATTATGAACGTACGTTAGATTTATTATTCACTGTACCTGTCAAGTAAAAGTGACATTCACTTTTTAGGAGAAAAAAAAGAAATAAATTATAGTCAATTAGAATTAAAAATTCTTTACATATTAGTATTTGAGTTATGATTTTACCTTTTCTGTTTGTATCTCACCATTTTCTCTCTCTTGCATTCAACACAATATTGAAGACACTACATGTCTTCTTCTACCTATAAATTTAAGTCCTAAGAAGATGCTTTTGCTTCACAAATTCATATCCAAAGAGTTCTTTCTTCACATAAAGCTAAGAGTAACACTTTTTTGGTGATATCCATGGCTGTGAACAGATATGTTGATTATGATTCCTTAGATTGTGTCTCTCAATTGCCTGTTGGATATAGGTTTGATCCAACAGATGATGTTCTCATGAGCTTTTATCTGAGGAAGAAGATCTTTAACCAACCTCTTACACTTCATGGAATTCTTCAGTTTGATGTGTTCCAAACTGAACCATGGATGCTACCATTTGGTAAGTAAAAAAAGCACTTTATTTATATTATATGTTCTCTTAATAAACATTAATTCTTGTTAAAAAAAATCAAATTTTTCTACAACCCATTTGAGTATTTTAATTAATATTTTATGGGTTTTTTTTTCAGATACAAGAAACTCATTTAGTGATAGGAGGTACTATTTTTTTGATATGAGGAACCATAGGTTTGAAAACATGGAGATAAGAAAAGCTGGTAATGGTGAATGGAGGGTGGTAGAAAAAAGAAAAGAAGTTTCTCTCAAAAGCCTTTACTTCATTGGGAGAAAGAACACTTTTGAGTATTGGAAAATGGAGGGAACACAAGCTGTGAAAAGTGAATGGATGATGGAGGAGTTTCACATCACTCCAATTCTTCATCCCAACATGGTAAAAAAACAGTAATATAATAATAATCATAATGTATTTATTTCTGAAAATCATGCTACTTTTATGCAAAATATAGTGACTGAAATTTTTAGTTCAAATTTAATGCAGAAGTCGAAATTAGGAGCATATAGAGTCTTTAAGATGAAGGTGGCAAAGGGTGAGAAGAAAGTTTCTACACCATCTGAGATTGATTTAACAATGGAGGGTGAAGATGAATCAGCCAACCCTTCTTCTCCATGAGCTTATCACGTTTCAATACATTGAACTTAGAGATTAATAGTTGCAACAAATCATCTTTTTTGTTTAAGAAATTTATTTGTAAGTCCTATGGATATTAAACATATCTTTATTATCATTCTAGTTTTCAGGGAATTATGTTTTGGTTTTGTACTCAAGAACTTGAATAATATTAATGCTTTATTTGTTTTGCCATTTTGAGAATAATTGCAGTGTGGATAAAAAAATCCATTGTTATGAGTAATACATTTTATTTTATTTTTTTATTAATTAATAAAACTTATTTTACAGTTGAAATTGATCTCAAATTCATTTTATATGACTTGAAATAGATAATAATAATAATAATAATAATAATAATAATAATAATAATAATAATAATAATAATAATAATAATAATAATCCAGTTATTGCATTAAATAAATAAAAAGGAGACATATCCAAACAAAGAAAGAAAATTATTCTCTTTTTATTTAATTAATTAATCATAATCTTTAAGAAAATAAGCAAACCCTTGGGTTAAGCAAACAAGAGTCACCACAAGTATGCAAGCATCTACACATGGATTTGATTGCCACCCTTCTTTCAATAGAACTCAACATATACTCCAATTATTAAATTCTTTTATAAAAGGAAAAATATATTCTTCTAGGTGAAATGAAAGTAACAATATAAGCAAAATCTTTGATAGTATATATGGTTCAAGGAATAAAATTATCAACATGAACTATATCTTATTAATTAACAATAAAGTTTTTTTTCTCATGAATAAGATGCTAACGAGGAAATTTTTTTAATATATTATATACTTTATGTTAAATGCATTTATTTTAGTTTTATGGTCTCTCTTCCACACTATAATTTTTTTTTTGATCGTGCAAAAAATATTCGACTTTATAAGAATATTTAAAATATAAAAATTAGTGTTGGTCGAGTTAGAGAAGAGAACAATGCACAAAAAGAGAAAGACTTGGTGTTGGTTAAGTTATTGAAGGGAAGAAAGAACAAAATATTCTTATTCTTATTATTATGATTCTTCCAAACTTGGATTACGCAACCCTCTTCATAGCTATTGAGTATAAGATTCTTGTCAATAATGGCTAAGTTGTTAATTATTTATAATATATTCATGATTGATGAAACCATAGGTTATAATAAATATGCCATATATCTGAAGTTTAGGTCATGAAAATACAATAATTAAAAGGTTTGGATTATAGATTCATTACATTTGAAGATTTAAGTAAATAAATGTTACCATAAATTGAATACTCTTAAAAACTGGTTGATTCATTTCAATAAATTGTATGGTATGACACGTGTTGAGCAAGGAAATATCCACACCTAACACTAGTTGTAAATTGAAGAATTTAACCAACTACTATTTTATTAATTTTTACTATAACAGGTAAAGTTTCTGAGTACGGTACATGTACAACTACCAAGTGACTAGTGTATTGTAATGTGATTTATTTATTATGATAGTTGCTTAATAATAATATCGTACCACTTTAAATCAATAAAATAATACTTCATCTAAACCTAAGAAAAATTGTTTTTTAAATACATTGAATAACAAATCTCCTTTCAACCTATTATAATTAAATTACATACACTTTTAATTTATCATTTATGTTCTTACAATTTACATTATTAAAAGGACTAATTCGTAATCAATAAAAATATCAATTAAATCACTTCTACCTCTCTCGTTACATTGCACGTAACATGTTTTTATTAGTTCAATTTTACAAAATCGCTTTCATTTTTCACATTTCTCTCTCTTTCTCTTCCGTATTCTTTCTTCTCCCTCAAACTCTAATACTGTCGTTGCCCCCTTATTCTGCACTATCTACCGCCACCACCACCTTCCATGAAAAATCAAATTTATATTCGTATTTCTCATTTAACGGACTTCCTAATGAAATAGTTATATTTTTGTTTCGTTGGATTTTAAAAAGTTTCTACTTTTCAATGTTGTGTGTTTTTTTTAAACGTGGTGCCTAAATGAAATCCAACATTACTTGTTCATATTTTAGATTGAAGTTTTTTTTTATTTTTAATTTTAATACTTGATTTTAATAGGGTGAATAAACCTGTTTTGGTTTTTTTTTTTTCGTGTTTTATTTTTATAGTTTTGATGCCTTTTATTTTCATTACTAGGATGGAACAAATTTGTCCATTTTATAAATGTTGATATCAATATATTTGTATCCTTCCTACGAACTTTTATGTATTTTTCTTTTTTACTACTCTGATACAAGCTTCCTTGTGTTATGTTTTTTTTCTACTTTGATACAAGTTGATTTTGTGTTGGTTTTTTTTCTTCTGATTTTTTATGTTTATCATTGTGTTATAAGGTGACAAATATGATTTTGGATGTTCATCATGTCTCTTAGTTACCACATTTTTTGGATGGAAAATGGTTTAATTTATATCAATCGTCTAAGTGCAAATTTCTCAAGCTAAAGTGAAGAATTTTTTTTGAATCATCCTGTGGCAAGGTGTTTGCACATGTTTTTCGCGCGGACAACCTCTGACCTCCCGACGCGGGTTACTTGCGGAACCGACCAAACTAGTCCCAAGACACTTGGCTCTGGGTGTGTGAATTTGTGGTAGACTTGGTGGTTATTAGACGCGCGTATGATGAGGTTAAGCAAATATGATGACGCTTCTACTAAAATAAAAACGAAGAAAAGGGAAATGACATGAAAGTAAAGGCGTCGCTTTCGTAACATAAAAAGACTTGGTAAATTTAATTCAAACTGGTAAATACAAGTGGACGTGCTCGTACATTTTGTAAGGAATGGAAAACTCTTTTCTTTTAATGTGCGACACTTAAAGTGTTTTTCTTACAATGTTGTCCAAAAAACGTCTTTTCTCTTGGAGCAAGGCTTTGCTTTACATAGATAAGTGAAATAACCATCATGTTTTTTCTGGTGCCGCCATGTGTCTAGCCACTACTTTTGTAACTTCCCGATGTTCTCCATTTTTCAAATCCATTTCCTACCAAGCAAAACCCCTTCGTCAGCTACCTCATTCATCGACCTGGTCGACCGTCATATGTCTAAGTCGACCCATACGTCTTCTCCTGCGCTGTCGACTCAGAACACCTTTCCTTCTTCCTCTACTTTCCTGTCGACCTCGATCTTTTCACCTGTCGATATTTTGAGTTGGCTTTATCGACATATTTCTGAGAGTTTGATCGATAAATGGGGTCTCAAGTTCCAATCTATTGATAATCGCAACATTTCAGATCATTGTCCCATTTCAATCAAATCTAGCAAGTTGAATTGGGGCCCAAAGCCATTTAAATTTTTTATGGCATGGATTAAGCACCCTAGTTTCTTACCTTTAGTTGAAGAAGTTTGGTCATATTCTATCATTCAATAGAGTAAATTATTTTGTTTTAAAGAGAAGCTTAAGAATCTTAAGGATCGGTTGAAGGTGTGGAACACTGGAGCATTTAGGTTCCAGAATCTACAGGCCGACTTTGATTAGGAACTCAATGATTTAGACTTAATGGTAGCAACTGATGCTCATGTATTAAAGGAAGAAACTTATTCTAAAATGATTGAGGCTCAAGCTTCAATTTGGGAAAGATTACATGTTCGAGAATCCATGATCAAGCAAAAATATATATGTCGTTGGTTAAAGATAGTAATCATAACTCTAAATACTTTGACTCCAATATGAAATCAAGGTATTGTCATGACAATATTGTGGGTCTAAAACTAGGGGATGTTGTAGTTGATGATGTCGAAGGTGTAAAAAAGATGGTTTTTGAACACTTCAAAGACCCCTTTCAAGAGCAATTTTCTAACATGCCTTTGCTTGAGGAAGTCTCTTTTAATGAACTTTTGAATGACTAATGGGTTTGGTTCGGAAGCTCCATTCTCTTTGCAAGATATAAAGGAAGTTATTTGAAATGCTGTAAGTGGAAACAATCCTAGCCCAAATGGTTTTTCAATAGAGTTCTTCAAAGCTAGTTGGGATATTATTAAACTTTACATTTTTTGTTGTATCATTGAATTATTTTTGCAGACGCATATCCCAAAGGATATACCATCAACTTTTATATCACCATTTCCTAAATGTCAGAATCCTTAAAGCTTATCTGACTACCATCTGATTTGTCTTAATAGCAGCATCTATAGGATTGTTTCAAAACTGATGGCGAGTAGACTAAAGGGATTTCTATATAAGCTTGTTACTAGTAATCAGTCTGCTTTTGTTCCTAACAGAGGATTGGGTGATAGTGTATTGGTACTAAAGTGGTTGACTTCACAAGGAGGAAGAAGAAAATTTTATTTCTTTTTAAAGTATATTTTGAAAAGGTATTTGATTTTGTTTCTTGTGACTACCTTTTTTATATTCTGAAAAGGATGAAACTCGAAAACAAATACTTGAAATGGGTTAAGGCTTGTGTTTGTTCTTCCTCTTTACTAGTCTTGGTCAATGGTAGTACAACTAGTGATGTTTAAGCTAGAAGGGGAATTCATCAAGGGGGTCCTCTCTCCCCTTTCCTCTTTATTCTTACAGCTGAAGGGATCATAGGTTTATTGTGGAATGTGTGTTTCAGCCATTACTATAATCCATTTCCTTTGAGTGACAATCTCCATATCGATCTTCTGCATTTTGTCAATGACACAATTCTCATAGGACAACCATCTTGGGAGAACATGGAGACTCTAAAAGCGTTGCTTTGTGGTTTTGATCTTTGTTCAGGTTTATCCGTAAACTTTAACCAAAGCATAATAATTGGCTTCAATGTAGAGTCCAAATTTTTACAAACTGCCTCTAATTATTTGGCGTGTGTTGTTAGTCCTCATCCCTTTCATTTTCTTTAAATTCAAATCGGTCACAATCCTAGAAGGTGTTCCTCATGATCTATGGTCTTAGGCAAGGTTAGGAATAGATCTTCCTCTTTGGAAGGGAAATATCTATCTCTAAGGGGAAGAGTGAATTTTTTCAATTCGGTATTGAACTTAATACCTCTCTTC